TGTTCATCTTTTCTTTTTTAAAAACACATTTTCTCTTGAAGGCGGTGTCTTCTGTGACTTTTATAGCTACAGAATAAAGTGCTCTGTGGTATCAGTATTAGCTGGGTGCAGAGACTCCCACCTGCATCCCCAGCAGCCGGAGGCTGAGACAGGAAGATGATGGCTTTAGCCTAGGGGTTTGGATCCAGTCCAGTCTGGTCAATATAGTGAAGGCTCCCATCTGTGAAGAATTAAATGTTACAGTTTTGTTTTGTTGTTGCTGTTGTTTTGTTTTTAAAGATACAATTTGATGTTGACAGGATCATTTCAGCTCTAGACTGAGGAAAACCTGTTTTCACTTGCAGACATTTTTTATTTTTTAACTGAGTATTGTTTACTAAGCAGACATGGAGAAGTCTTCCAGACTTTTTCTGTTTGGGGTGCGCCTTCTAGGAATAGAGTAGAAATTTACCTGGGAACATGTGTGCCTAGTCCTTAAGTAACTGAGCTCCTCCTTTAGATAGGAACTGGGTGGGGTGAGAGGAGCCAGGGAGGACAAGCTGCTGCCACTTTAGTGGGTAATGACGCTCTGGGGGCCACTCAGCAACACACACATGCACAGGAAAATAGTAATGGTCCTCCAGGTCGCTTGGAGCGGAGTTCCAGGTCCCACTGCGAAGTGCTCTCCTCAGGGTCTTCAGAGAAGTTTTCTAGGGCAGCAGAGTCACCAGGCATGGGTACAGTGAACTTCACTGCAGGAGACAGCCAGACATGGTGGAGTCCTGGCACCTGCCTCTGCTGGGAAGACTGGGAGCGGGGTAATGTCAGGAATCTATTTGGGTATTTTTTTCTTTTTTGGTCTTTTTTATTGTGGTCAACTTAATTTGAAATAATTGGGCTAGATTTTCTTATATATTTAATTTTTTCTTTATTTTTGATAATTTCATGCACATATACAATGAAATATATCTAATGCCCTTATTTTCCAACTGATCCCTGATCCCCAGGTTTGTCTGTTTGTTTGTTTATTGGCGACCCGCGGAGTTGAGGTAATACTACCCATATATATGTACATGGATGTGGACATCCATGGAGCATGGGGAACCTCTCATGGTTCCAGACGCGACTGGCAGCAATCAACTGCCAGTAGCGTCTCAGTAAAGCTCAGGCATGGAGATTCCATGCTGGGCTCTTGACTATCTTGCTCTTATGACGGTCTCAGGGAGATAACACAGCAGCTGTGAATTACAGTGTGACGGCCATGTCTTGTCCAGAAAACAGCATCTCACAGTGCCTTTCCCCATCTTCTGGTTCTTGCATCCTTCCTGCCTCATCCTCCAGGATGTTCCCAAGCCTTGGTGGGTGGAGGTGGGGGTTCAGTATAGATGCTTTATTTAGGCTGAATGCTTGGTCCCTTTTAGCACTAACTAGCTATGTGTCTCTCCACTGCAAAACAGAAGCGTCTCTGACCAGATATACAGGTCTTTGGGCAGAAAGACAAATATTTAGAAGACAATTTGGCAGCATCATCATTTAAGAAAGTAAGACGCTGATTCTACCACAGGACCTGTGACCTCCCCTGCCACGGGCTTGTGTCCAGGATTACATGAGGCATGAAAATCTTTTCCGGGCAGCAGGCCTCAAATCTAATTTTATTTTATTTTATTTTATTTTATTTATTTTTATTGTGTATGTGTTTGCAGGGTGTGTGTGTGCGCGTGTGCACATGCGTGTTCAAGTGTGTGTGCCACAGTAAATGTGTGGAGATTGGATGACAACCCTTTCATGTTGTTCTCTCTTTCCACCATTACATGAATCTCAGGAATGGAGCTTAGGGCATTAGGCTTGCACAGCAGGTGTCTGCACACTGAACCATCGCACCAGCCTGAACACTTACGTTTTAAATGTACAGTGCAGTGATGGTAAGATGGTTCATACTGTCGTACAATAGCTTCAGGGTCTGAGCCAGGTATTCCCAGATTCTTGGCATTTTATTTAAGAAAAAATAAGGGAGACTCAGTTTTCTGTAAGGGTGAGGCCCCTGGTGGGTTGACCACTCTCCAGTGAAGGCCATGTATCCAAGAGTACATGGGCAGCCCTGATTGTACTTGATGGGCTCAAAACCAAAGAGGACAGAAAGCTGGGTGGATAGGGAAGGGGAGGTGGATCTTGGAGAAGTTGGGGAGTGGATAAATATGATCAAAATACCTTGGATGAAATTCTCCAAAAACATTAATAAAAATGAGAGGGAAAGATGGACTAAAGGCACACAGATTACAGAGCAGGAACAACCCTGTCTAAAATGATGGATAGTACAGAACAGAATGGGACACACTGTCCAGACTGACAGGCAGCTGTACAAATAAAGATACTCAGTGACTCAGGTTGCTATTTGGTGCCTCCTTTTATGGGGCTCAGGAGGAGGAGTTTGGTTGCTGAGGAACATAGTTTTTTGGATGGTTCTCTATTTTGATTGACAGATTATGTTATATAACCATTCTCTACTGCATGTATCCCATCCCACCCACGATGCACCTGACTTTAATCTTTGGCATGTCCAGTTATGCATAGGCATAGGGTAGTAAGTGGGATTTCCCATAGGAGCTCTCTTCGAGGACACAGGTGGCCTTATTGCTATGTACTTAAAACTAGCTCAGGCCAGATCCACCTTCCTACCCTCCCATCTGGACATAACTAGAGTAAGACTGAAAGAGCTCTCCTAGAAACCTCTGCATTGTCAGAGTAAGGCGTCTATGCAGGAGGGGCTCGAGGCTGCAGCTGGCTGCTGCTAGGCGCATCATTTGGAGCGTGTACGCATATAAGAGCCTTGGGCTGCCAGGTGCATCAGTAGAAGAGGACTTGGTTAGTGCCTAGGCCAAACCAGATGGAGGAGACCCAGGTAGTTAAGCTGTTTCCTCCTGTGCTTGCCTGCCTCAATCTGGGGTGCTGGGAGAAATGACACATTGTAAACCTTCTTAGACACTCTGCCCTACCAGAGCAGCAGAAAGGATCTGCCTTTCTCTAAGAGGGAATCAGTTCCTTTAGAGACCTAGAGGATGAAGCGGGCTGAATTCAAAGGTAGCTTCCCTTTTCCTAGCTCCATACTACCTCTGTCCTCAACATGATTGAGGTCAGCTGCTCCCTTTGTTCTAGACCAGAGCATGGAGCAGGCTCCTGGGCAGTAGTGCTCATTAGTTAGCTCATAGGTCCCTTGGCCACTTTTATGACATCAGCTCTTGCTCTCCATCTTCCCCCATGTATATTCCCAGTACCCAGCCCTGCGCTGCTGCAGCAGATGCTACTACTGCTTAGTAACTCTGAGGGGATGTGGGAACCAGCTTGGCAGGCAAGCTTCCAGAGCTCAGCACACCTCACAGGAGGCTCCACCATGAGCCCCTTCATGCTGTGTTTCCTTGAGAAAAGAAGATAAGTTAGCTGCCCCCAAGTTCAGGCACAAGATTTTCTTGTTAATCACAGCCCTTTGTTCCTTGAGAAGCCAACATCTGCCATCAAGCCAGCCCCTCAGGCATGCAGTTGGGGTTCCTGCTTTAACCCAGGGTTCTGCACCCTGCTGCGGCATTCTTGCATGTTATTAGAAGTCACTTTCTGGTAGGGAATGACCTGGTCCGTGAACCCGTTTGATGTGGTTAAGCAGTGGAAGGGTTGATTTCTCAGGCCAGTGCTTGCCTTGAGGGTTTTTATCACGGTCAATACTTTGGCAGGTCTACAAAGAACTCCCCTCCCTACTTTTCCCGGGGCTCTGGTTCTCCCGCTCCCTTCTCCTCTCCGACTTCCTTTCTCCCAGCTTTGGAAGTCCTCTTGTTTTACAGGTTATTTCATATCTCTCTTAAATATCTCTACTTTTCAAATAATTCTCTGGAAATGTTAGTTTGTTAGAACTCTAGAGCTTTGTATGTGTTTTCGTGCATGTGTACATCCATGCATGCATGCCTGTGCTTTTGTGTGTGTGTCTGCACATACATGTGTATTGCATGCATTCATTCCTTCAGACAAGTCAGTGTGTGTTGACTTATTTTTCCAGCACAATATTCCTGTGTAGCCGGAGATGCTCTGGATCTCACAGCCCTGCCTCACCCTCTTGGGTGTGGGATTTCAGGTTTGCACCACAGCATCTATCCTGCCTCACCCCTTTGAGTATAGGGTTACAGGTTTGCGCCACAGCGCCTAGCTCAATGGTTGTTTCTTTGTGCTACAAGAGACTCAGACTAGACTTCCAGGAATAGCTCTGCCAGCCACTCAAGACCTTTCCACCTACACAGGAATAAAATGAGTCCTGCCCCACTTCACACCTAATTTCCCAGGTTTGAAATGGTCTTGGTGACAGCCCTCCCTTACCTGTGGCCATAAGGACTCATTGATCCAAACCAGTGTAGGTTCTAGCTCAGGTGACTATAGGTATGTGTGTATGCGTGTGTTGTGTACAAATTCATATGGGTGCCTGTGCTTGTGTGTGCATATACACCTGTTTTTGAGAGTGTGTGTGGAGGCCAGAAGTTTATGTCCTGTGTCTTCTTTCACCACTCTCTACCTTTTTTTTTTTTTTTTTTTTTTTTGAGCTGGGGCGCTCCCTGGACCTGGAGCTCATTGATTGGCTAGACTGGCTGTTCATCAGGCCTCAGGGATCCTCCCATTTTTGCCTTCCTGGTACTGGGATTACAGACACAGCCTGCTGTACTCTGCTTCCGTGTGGGTACAGGGCATCCACACTCAAGCCCTGGTACTTGTGCAGCAGGCACTTGATGGGCTCGGCTGTCTCCTCAGTCCATTTTCTAGACTGTCCATCAAAGTCTCCCCTCTGGTTTAGTTCTTCGGTGTAAGCCTGGTTAACTATAGTGTTTCCTGGTTGCTCTAGTTAACAGCAGCTCCTCATCCATGGTGGTTTGAAGAACCTTCTGCTGGGCTCTCTGACTAAACTGAACCCTCAGGTTGTCTGATCCCCAGCAGGCTAAGGGTCTAGCCTTGAACTTTTCAGAATGCTTATCCCGACTCTTGTCTTGCAGCCGATGCTTTTTTCAAAGCCGCCATCAGCCTCGTTCCAGAAGTCCCAAAGACAATAAGCATTGACGGGAAGCTTCGGCCATCGGAGCCTTTCCTCCTGGAATTCCTGTGCAATTTCTTCTCTACCTTATTGATTGTGCCGGTATGTCCCCAGGAGCCACAGCCCTTCACTCACCATGCCCCTCCTCCTGAGTACACTCAGCCCTTAATATTTTATCTTACGTATGTGATTGCTTGCCAACATGTATCTGTGTCCTGTATATGTGCCTGGTGCCTACAGAGGCCAGAAGAAGGTATCACATGCCCTGGAACTGGAGTCACAGACAGTTATGAACCACCTTACAGGGCTGGGAACTGAACTTGGGTCTGTCTGTAAGAGCAGCCAGGGCTCTTAACTGCTGAGCCATCTCTTGTTTATTACCAACCAGGTGTGTCTTTCAGCCGATTCAAGGTCCAGTAAGTTGACAGTCAAGATTAACCAATGACGTAGCCATTGTATCACCTAATTGGGATTATGGTTTCATTCAGCTTGTGTATCTGGGTTGAGGGGAGGCACTAACATTCAATGCTCTGTACTCTGCACTGCCAAGCAAGGGCTTAGTGACCTTGGACCACGATGGTGACAATCGGACTAGCTCTTTCTCCCCCTGGCTCTGCAGGTTTGGCAGTGTGTGTCCTGTCCACAAAAAATAAGGGTGATCTTGTGCCAGCTCCTGGTGTTCTGGTGAGGATCAGGAGAGGGTGCAGAGTGTAGACATATAGTGAAGCTCTTGGGTGGCAGGATTCTTTGGAACAGGAAACAGTAGACGCTGGCTCCTTGTGGCTGTGAGAGATGAGTAGTCATTCTTGGGGCCCTTTTGAGGGGGTGGATTCTGCAGAAGGAATTTCTGGAGCCTTCCTATAGCTGGCGTTCTCATCCTGGTCTTGGACCCTGCTTCCTGACATGAGTTTGGATGAAGAAACAAAATGGCGTCTCTGTTTTCCCAAGTATCTGGGTATATTTACCTTTCACCTGATTGTGAGCTGCACGCAGAGAGCCTTGGCGGTCACAGCAATAGTTGGGGCTTTGTCACCGAGAGACATGAACAGGCATTGCATTATTATAGTTCAGGTGCAAAGGCTATTTCCTTTTCTTTGTTGTTCCTCACCACCTGCCCCTTCTCCTCACCCCCTTCTTTTCCCTTCTTGTTTGTCTCCTTCCGTGTTTTGTGAGCAGTCGTTTGTTTTTTTTGGTTTTTCTTTTATCTGAGAGTCTCACTGTGTAGGTGAGGTCATTTGGAACTCAAGATTCTCTTACTGCAGTCCTCCCATGCAGCACTCTGCCTTACTGCAGTCCTCCCATGCAGTACTCCACCTTACTACCGACCTCCCATGCAGCACTCTGCCTTACTATCGTGCTCCCATGCAGCACTCTGCCTTATTACCGTGCTCCCATGCAGCACTCTGCCTTACTGCAGTCCTCCCATGCAGCACTCTGCCTTACTGCAGTCCCCCCATGCAGCACTCTGCCTTACTGCCGTCCTCTCCACTAACACACACAGCACCCACCTTGCTTCTGAAAGAGAGTTCAGGCTGCTGCTGTTCTCCCTTCCTTAAAAAGCACCATGGTAACTCTCCCCACAGAGAGTCCATAGGTTTTCACAGAAGCATTGGGAAAGTAGCTACAGGATTGCATTGCTATGACTGACTTCCCTTGAAGCCTTGGGTGTCTTATTTGCTGATTTACAAATAACAGCCCCAGGAATCTATAGGCTTCACCTGACAAAAACCGCAAAGCAAATATGAAAACAATACCCCAGCAACCCTTCATCGAGATGGCTGTGTGTCAGGATTGCCCTGTTGAATGCACATTCCTAGAGTTCGCCCTTGGATATCTCTCTCAGTAGGTTGAAACTGGCCCTGTGGAGGTCACTTCCCTCAGTGGTTCAGAAGGGACCACTCCCAGGACTAGACCTGGAGAAGTGTCCTGCCAAGTTTGGGCTATGCAATGACTCAGCACTTGCTGGGTCCCAGGTTTCTTTAGGAGTGATGAAATACTCTTCAGTCAGTTGTGGTGACAGCCACACAACGCTGGATTCAGGAACAGTCATTGAATTGTGTGACCTGAATGGGCGTATTGTTCCCTGTGCGGATTATGTATCTTCATCAAGCTGAGAAAACAAAAAATGACTCAGCAGTGGGCGCTCTCTGTTCAGATTCCAAGTTCTCTGAGGGGAACCAGGAGGCCCAGCCACAGACCTGCTCTGGGTGAGGCTTTGATTGTCCTTTGTGGTAGGCAGCATCCTGGTGAGGGGTGGAAGGTCAGGTGGCAGAGCTGCAGGGGCCCCAAGAGTCCTTTCCCTGGACACTTGCTCACAATGCTCTATGGTCAGTGCCTCCTGTCTGTATGACCTGGTTATTTGTCATGTAAGTGGAGCCAAGAAAAGGCCCAAGTTTCTAATGAAGTACTTGATTGTTGTTTGGTGATTTGTTGAGGTGCTTTACCACCTACACACAAGCTTCCCACATGCTGAAAGCTGCTAGGGTCTCTCTGAAAGCCTTCTCCTCAGAGTCTCAAACTTGGTTTTAGTCCTGACTCCATGACCTCTAGCTCTGGGGCCTTAGAGATGGTTTTGTAATTCCTCCAAGTCTTGCCTGCCGTCTTTCAAAAGTGTCATGGAAGCGCCACCTTACAGGACTGCTGTGCCGGTTGAATGAAATCATACTTAAGAAAGAAAGCATGGGGGGCTGGAGAGATGGCTCAGTGGTTAAGAGCACTGACTGCACTTCCAGAGGTCCTGAGTTCAAATCCCAGCAACCACATGGTGGCTCACAACCATCTGTAATGAGATCTGATGCCCTCTTCTGGTGTGTCTGAAGACAGCTACAGTGTATTCATATATAATAAATAAATAAATCTTTAAGAAAGAAAGAAAGAAAGAAAGAAAGAAAGAAAGAAAGAAAGAAAG